CCCCCCCCCCCCCCCCCCCCCCAGGAGGTGTCAATGATGTACTGAGGGGAATGGTGTGAGAAGGAAATGACACGCGACTGAACTTGAGCAACATTTAAAGGTTAGAAAAAACAACTAAAAAGACAACATCTCTTCCCTGTGATTCAAGCGCAAAAACAAAATCTAAGAAAAGGATGGTACGCTTTAACTTATTCTCCTACAGTGCAATGCATCACTTGAAGGCAACGAAGAATATTGATGGCATTGTGTGTCGGCAAATCGATTCTGTGATAGCGCAATCTGGATTCTGTTGTGCTGCTTTTTTTTATTTATTTTTTTTAAAGAAGTTTTCCTTTTTAAGATGAAAACTTTCTTCTCCTTTCGGAAAAGTGAACGTCTGCAGAGCTGATATAGAGGAGAGATGGAGGGCAGTGCACAGTGTGGGTTGAGGCATTGGGTTGTGAGGGTGTGGTGAAAAGGAGGGGGGGGGGGCATGGGTGTGTGTGGTGTGAGCATGTGTGTGTGTGTGTGTGTGTGTGAGGAGGAGACTGCAGCGGTAATTGCTAAGGAAGAGCCATGTGCACGAAGGACGTTGAAGCTTATTAAAGGAGGAGACAGAGTGATTATTCACTATGGTCCTCTTGAGAGACTGACGCTGAAGTCATTGCTTTTAATTAACTCTGAAACGGTTTTGCGGATTAATAACAATATTAAGAAGGGAATGGAGAGGAGAAGCGCAAACACATCTTGGATCTGGTTCAAGCTTTTTAATTACAATTAAACAGACTTGATGGCACAATAGCACAATAACTATGCTCTTTTCTCTCTCTCTCTCCCTGCTACTGTATCCATTGAACTTGTCTGCATTGTCACCGCTGTGTCTCTCTCGGGGCTTGTACAAGACAGGTTATAACACAGCATTGATTTACTGCTGAGATTTTAGGATCGGCCGGAACAATTTGGCACAAGAGTGAAAGAGCAGACGGCGAAGAAGCCGAAAGGGTGTGTGGAAGGGAACACGGAAAGCGTGTGTCGCAAAGTGTGCTGTGCTGAAAATAGATTTCCTATTTTGTTTGTTTACCAGGAAGCTCACTCTCATACTTTTTGGTCTAACTTGAAAAGTGTCAAAGTTTTTGAGGACAGTGCTGGGATTCTTGTGTTGCGCTCTGGAATGGGAAGCAGAGGAGAAGATATGAAGTAACCTATGGATGCTGATGTTAGACACAGCTTGTAAGAACCCCTTGAGTGGGAGGAGCACACGCTGGAGTGAAACAGCACTGCAGGGCCTGGAAACCCGCCGCTTCACTAAAGCCAAAAGATGATAAAATACTAGTATTGTCCACAATTCCCTAGTCTCCTCTGTCCTGACCCACGGTGTAGCTTTTTTTGCGGCCTTAATGAGCTGAGGAAAGCACCGGTGTGACTGCAGGGGCTTCACTTTGACTCTGGGCACTTCATCAATGATGTAGCATGAGTTGGCCCAACATTTATAACCATTCACAGTCGCTTACCCAGACTGAGGCTCATGGGGCCTTCTCCATCAGCCAAACACACCAGCTAATAAATGCCGCGGCGAGAGGACAGCATGTTTATGCATAAGCTATAGAGAAATAGACGCATTTACCACTTTATAAACATTACGCGGGTCTCTGGAGATGCACAACTGCGTTCGTCTAACTTAAGTACCTCCGCAACCTCTTGGGAGCACAACGGAGCGGGAACAGAAGGCGTTTTATAGGAACATATGCTCTTCTTCCCCTATTATATATCAATGCTTTTACGCCTACCCATAAACATTACTCTTGAGTGAGACATTATATAGAAGGAGATTGCTGTAACTCTGTTTTTTGTTTTGAGTGCTGTGAACTTGGCGAGGGTAAAGGAATTAACCCCTGGCTGCCTTGGTGAGACTGCAGCTTCACCCTACACAGCCCATGCCAGCTCTTTATTTATTTATTATTGATCCCAACATATTTCGGCTTTAATTTAACTCTCTGTTTATTAATTGACATGATTTTTTTCCTATTCCACTTTGCATTTACCCCTTTGAGAAACCTGAGAAAAATAACATTATTTCACAGCCAGCAGACGTGAAACAGGTCGCAGAGGCTGCTTGGGACATGATTTGAAATGACGGTTGGAGGCTCCGATCTTATTACTTATCTCATCTCATTGCAGAGCTCTGTGTCTCTGACTGTAGAACAACCTGACGATGGTGAATCAGAAATCCCAAAGCGTTGCATGAAAAGGGCGCAAATGATGCGTTTCCTGTGCAAGTGTGAGTGGGATCTGACTTAGTGTGTCACCATGCAGCATCTGTCATTACAGTAGGCTACTGTGTCTCCATGTGTACGATTCAGTTTGAGTACAAAGATTACTGTGGAAAGAAATAAAGTGCAGCAGAGCAGTAAAAATTCGAGAAGCATGGCAGTGTGTGAAATGCAATACAGGCCACCCCTCCACTTCTACTGCCTCTTGATTTCTTATCACATAATACACTTTAACATAGAATTGAAGCTTTAATTAAGTATTTTAATGTTGCATGTTTTTTGAGCGTGTCACTGAAATTGTACTTGATGATCGAGTGTGAAAACGTACTGTAGCATATAAGCATTTTGGTTTAAGTAGCAGGTTGCTTCTTAGCAGATTTTTCATTCATTCATACATTTTCCAATTTTCGAGTTTGTCATAATACTGGCAACAAACTATGTGAAAGAGACGCAGTTTGCAGCCTGAGCAAACAAAGCAAACAAGATCTGCAATAACTGCGGTGTAACACCCATCTTTCTTTTTTTTCTTTTTTTTTTTTTTACAGGCAACACGTATTTCGGAGCAACTTTGAAGATAACAGATCTGACGGCTGATCGGAAGGCACACATTAACCAATCTGAGAAGACCCTCCGGGGCGCAAAAATAGAATTAGAGCCCCATTAAAACGATGCATCAAAGAAGCCGAGAATAGATCATGTAGACGTCCTAATGCATTTAACACGACTGCGAAGACGGATGGGTGCATCGATGGACAGTCAGCACAATCTGCTGGGCTCGCACGGACAGCAGTAACCTGGTCTTAATATTATAGGCGAAATGTCTAATATCCCCCCTCCTCTCTATACACTTACAGCGCAGACAAGCCACTAAAGCTCACAGTCGAAAAGTTATACCAGATCAATTTAACAAAATAAACGGAAAGTAAAAGGGTGCACACATGGCTCGTGCAGTAATGATTATAATCATAATAATTATAATAATACAAGCGTAACTATAACAGCAATCGAAATACGATACAATCACTCGAAAACGAAACACTTTAAATGTATCCAGTCAATTCCTCTAGATATCAATACTAATTCAGAAAAAGCGGAATGGCCAAAAGTTCCGAATTTTACTGCGTAAAGGCAAAAATATCGGCGTGCACTACCCTATTTACCCCAAACCGTGACCGTCCTTTGGATCGCGGAACGCGGCAATGTCGGGACTCATCATGCGAAGAGGGGTCGCGGGCTGCAGCCAGTCAACACATCTTTATCTCCAGGCGCACGGGGTGCCACAGCTGTGCGCTCTTGGCTTCCGAGGCGCACGGCAGATGCGCACGCTTGCCTCACAATGTCACTTTTTATTCCCCGGCTTTTTCTATGATCGGTTCCCTACAATGTGGATTTTTTTATTAAGAGAGAGCACGACAGAGGCAGGCAGCGAGGGACGGGAAGAGAGTGAGCATCAGGGCAGTCGGGTATCGCTTACACTGAGGAAAGGAAACTCAGAAAAACTTTCAAAGCACTAACCTGGCCATTCTTGCAGAGGTCTGCCCACATGCTGGTGCCATCTCCTCCTCTCATCAGCACGTGGTAGATGAAGAAGTATGTGCCTGGTATGCTGCAGATGAACTTGCCCGAAATGCCATCATAGTTGTTGCCTAGGTTGGTGACCACGTCGTCAAACTTGAGGATCTCGTAGCCTTCGTGGGGGTTCTTAAGCCCTGCATAGAAGGCCACCCGAGGCACTGTGCTGTAGGTGGCCGTGCTGATAGCTCCGTTCTCCCCCAGACCCAAAATCCCAGTCCGTCCCTGATCCCCTCTGTCACCAGGAGGCCCCGCAGGTCCAGGTGGACCCGGTTCCCCAGGTGGTCCCGGTGGTCCGGGCTTGCCTGGCCTGCCAGGCTTGCCCTGTGGGCCCTGCAGTAAGGTGGAGGGTGGAAGCACGTTGCCGTGGTCGCTCAACGCCTCTGCCTCAGCCTGGAGACCGGTGGAGCTGGTGCTGCTGGCCGGAGTGCCCTTGTTCAGGTAGGGGTCGCACACCATACGACAGGTGCCCAGCATCTCATAGTGGCTGGCATCTGTACCCACAGAGCTGACGAGCACGGGGATGAGGACCACCAGCACCAGGACCAGCATAACCCCTACGGCAGCCGCCACCAGGGTCTTCCTCCCGATGCTGAGTCGGGGAAGGGGCTGCGCTGCCAGCGTGGGTCTCCCGGGGGCGGAAATGGTGACTGCTTGGTGTGGGGAGCCTGTCACCGTCAGAAGGGATCCGGAGATCCCGAGAAGAGTTGCGAGAGGACCAGCGAGTGTGTGAGGGCGAGACAGAGACCCACATACACTTGATACTCCTCAGTGTTCTGCTCAGTCACACTAAAGTAGGCATGCAGTCACTCACACATGCAGAAAGACCTGCGGAAACCCAAGCACACACAGGGAGACATTCAGCCTGTACTTACAAACACAATCTGACTTGTGAGAAGAAGCAGGAAGGATGCATATCCCAGAGGAATGGAGTGAGAGACGGAGAGAGAGAGGGAGAGAGGGAGAGAGAGAGGGAGAGAGAGAGAGAGAGAGAGAGAGAGAGAGAGAGAGAGAGAGAGAGACAGAGAAAAGGATGAGAGTGGGTGAGTGTGAAAGATACTGAGCAGCCACTGGATCTGTGTGTGTGTGTGTGTGTGTGTTTGTGTATGTATGTGTGGTGAGTTTGTGGTGCCGGATTCTCAGGCTTGGCTTTTTATACGGCAGTAGCAGCGGAGCCCCCCCACACACCCTCCCTTCTGCTCCCCCATCGAGTGAGAGGTTGGTGTGGTTACGTCCCCTTCTCTCTCTCCGGCTCACTCAGAGGAAGGACTCTCATCACACTGCATTTCTTTCTACCACTCTCCTGAACCACTGAATCACCAACACAACACCCCCCCCCCCCCCCCGACCATCTTGCTCCCCCTCTTTCATCTCTCTCTTTTCTTCTCCCCTTGCCCTCCCTCCTTCTCCCCACTCTTCATGCCGTTTCTCACTCCCTGACTTTCTCCTCTCTCTCATCAGCATCCAGACTCTAAAAATAAAGATGGAGCTGTGGATAGACTATCTTTTCTTTTTTTTGTTCTTTTCCTGGAGGAGGGTTCTAGAGATTCATGCATATATGTGCACAGACACAAGGCAACACGTAATCTGCTATGCTGGGAAGTGCTAACAGCTTTTCAAATGATAGAAAAAGGTGCTAATTACAAAAGTTAATGCCAAGAAAGGCGTTCATACGCCAACAGCTTGACCTGTAATATAAATTAAACGTTGCAATAACACGTAGAAGAAGAGTCTTAGTGGTACATCACATAAAGAAATAACTGTTTCACAACTTTTTCTTTATTGGTCTTAGCGGCACATCATATAGGGTCAATTGTTCAGGGTAAAAGCAGCCAATCTATCCTTCCGCTAAGGGCCACCGACATTTACGCTCTTCTGCTGATATTTTATTCCCCTCTTTGCCACCTGAATGTGCCGACACCGTTTCTTATTGGTGTCTTTTTTTTAGTTATTGATTTCATGGTTTTTATCAAATCAAGGGTCCTGCATGGGAGGAAAAAAAAAATCTATATAAAGCAGTGATGTCATTTGTTTGACATTTTCATCCTGTAGAGTGATGAATGGTGAAGTGGGAAAGCAAATGACAAAGACTGTAGATACAAACATAGTCATCATGTGAAATATGTGTTGTGTTTGCAGAGACGTCAGTCTTCGGTGTTTTTCCGTCTCAATATAGTTCAGAACACAAAATGGACAAATCGCTCAAGTTGGATGGAGAGAATATGGTACGTCCGTGTCAATATGAGCTGCTGATTGGTAAAAAAAGGTGTCAGCCTCATGGAGGCAATGGTAAAAATTGATATCTGGCTGGTACAGCTGGTAGCTCAACGCAGTTCAATGTCACAAAATTCTAAATGATATAGGGTTCTCCGGCCTGCCCCCACTAGAGAACCTCTTTTGGTTCCTGGTAGGACCTTTTATAAAGGTTCCACTTGGAACCCTTCCATGGGTTCTACCTATACCCAAGAAAAAGAGTTAAACCTAGAACCTTGTGTTTGCTAGCATTAACAGTAAAGTTAGGCGGCTTCCCCACTCTTTTTAAAATAGACAGAGAGAAAGAGAGAGAGAGAGAGAGAGAAAATCGATCATGCCACCGAGCTAAGAGGGTGAGCGGTAGAAGAGAGAGAGAGAGAGAGCTGCATTACTGTCAACGTGAGAAAAAATATTTTCTGATTGTTTCATGGCTGTTACATTCTTAAGCACAAATTATTCACTCAACAGACAAACGCTCTTAGTTTCATTTTCTTCCTCAGCATTTCAGTAATTACATGCAGCGTGCCTCAGTAAACACACAGCGACAGGAAATGTCATTGCAGCGAGACAAAACCTATATTTGATTAACCCACGCGACCAGCAGCAGCCCTCGGCAGTCTCGTCTTTGGACCGCTATGGAAACGCAGACAGCAATGGGCTGAAGTTCTTTGAAAAGTAGTCCCAGGATTGATGCGGTGCAGCGCAACACACAACAATCATTTTTCACAATCACAGTTTTTGGGGGTGTGGCCTGGAAGGATCTTTTGACAAAAGATTTCTTCAGAATCCAACAGCTGAAGTTTTACCCATGATTGTATATATATATACTGTATATATGCTGTTTGTTCATAGTACATTTGAAGGAGTAGTTTTTGCTATAGCTCTTTACATTATGACGTGAACACATTTTTGGATTAATGCACCGATTAAAGAGGATTAAGTGTCAACAGGATTTTAATCCACCAGGTGTTTTCAATGATCGGTTCCACCTCTCTGTTTAAAGTTGTACTAATCAGTGGAATCAGATGCTGTAGTCATTGGTTGGAATACAAATCTGCAGATTCTTGTCTTTCACATGGTTGCCCATTCCTGGCTTAGATAGGACTGTTTGTGCCTGAACTGGGTTGAGCACTTGTGACGGATTGAGATGGATCAATGAGCAGGATGACTGGCTATTTGTCATCACTACACTTGACATATCTCCAGGTATTTTGCTGCATTTCTCTCTCTTCATCATCATTAAACTTCAGTTGCAAACTTCCGGCATCACCAGTTGGTTGTATAATTTATCACTGAGCATAGTCTGTGGACATACCCAAATAACTGGCACACCAGGTGTGCCTGCAATGCAAATTTGCCTGTTTTGTTGTATTCCTCATAACAGACATGCAGTTTGCCTATGTGAGAAAGCACACAAGCCCAAAATTGGTTTTGGGGTTTGTTTAGAGGGCCATTGTTTGTTCTTCACACCTGTCGGCTGTAACTGCCAGGGAGATCACTGTGCCCCAAATCTCTAAATCTCTGAACCACAGAGATCAATGCACACCAGGGAGGACAAACAGAGAGTGGTAGCGATGAAAGAGAGATGAGAAAGATGTGGAAGACAAGCAATAGAGAGGCAAAAGGGGAGCGAGAGGTGCAACGCGGAGAGGGAGTTTACAGCTGAGCTTCATGTCGGTGGAGCTGGTTTGTTTTGCTTGATTTGTTGGCGCATAGGGAGAGAATCCAGACTGTCGGTGGCAGTCGTGACAACATGTATTTTAATGGGAGTGACATTTTGTGAAACCCTGAATTGCTGCGTGTGGTGGAGACAGATTTTAATGACATGAGTTGCATTTTGGGGATGTCTTATAGACGTCAGATTCTTTAAAAACAGTTCGGGGGTAAAGTTCGTATCCACTGCTGAGGTTGAGTTGTAGCCCCTCCGGCGTGATTCGTTCCAGCCAACACTTGTTGGCAGGTGGGAAACCAGACACACGTTCCTAACCTTTTCTTTGCACTGGTTGTTTTTAGCACTGCTCAGTGGGGAGTGGACCGGGGGGCGGTAGTGTGACACACCAATGTTTTCAGGTATTAGACATTCCAAAATATAAAAAAAAAATTGAGGAAATTTCCAAATAATTTGTCCTTATATTGTGTTAACTTTGCAGGTGTGGTAATTGTTTTGGTAATTTATCCTAATTAAATGCTTTAAACAATTTTTGTTTTTGCCAGAAGCTGTGAACACAACATTGACATGTATTCACCTTTGAAGTTGATATGGAGAGCAAACTGTTGTTTATTTACACATCCAGCATTAACGAAGCAACAGTAGCATTTACTTTGAGTCATTCATCTGTTAAATCCGAGCCAAATGTTCACAGTCCTTTTAGCTCTGTTTTTGGTCTCCACCAACTCCTCAGAGTAATATCTGGCTCTTCAGCTGCTAAATGCTACACTGTGCTCACCGTCTAGTCACAAACCTGTGTCGGTCTGTTGTTGTGTGGCGCTGAACAGGTAGCTACAGTTAGACTACACCACTGATGTTATCTTCTTCTTATTGACAATCTAATTTTAAATAATTATTTACTCAAACCGTTAACCAGAAACTTATTTGAGTGCATATCAGGCTAGTGTTACTGTATGGTGATGGCATATTGAAATTCAAATATATAATATTATAATATAATCATATAACAATATCACCTTTAAATATTATTGTAACCAGTAGAAATGATGGCCAATCCTATCAAAATAAGACTGCTGTGAGAGCTCAGATATTGTACTGCACAGTTGATCGGACTGTGATGAAAGAGAAGGCTTTTGAAACACAATAAGTGAGCGGATGCGAGGACAAGAAGAGAACAGGAAACCACAACCTCACTGTGTCCAGACATCAGCCACATCCAAACACACCTCAAACGCTTTTAATCACTTTGTTGTTCTCCGTGGTTACAAAGAGATGGGGAGACAGAACAAATGTGTCTCCAAATGTTTCAGAAGTGCACAAGGGAAAACCACAAAAACATGGAAGAGTAAAAAATAAAAATAAAAAATAGACTTAGAGAGTTGTTTTTGTCAAGAGTGAAGTTTAACAGGTCAAAGAAACAAAACAACACCACAAGCAAACACAGTAGATGCCTCATCTCTCGTTGAGTTTGTGTCTCTGATTGCTTCCCTTGTGTTGCTCCTGGCCGAGGCTTATCAAAGAGCTCCTTTCATAAGTGCCTGGATCAAGCCACTGCTGTGACTGCTTGGCACCCACTGAGGTGGTTTAGAGAAGGGTGGGGGTGTGGGTGGTGTGGGGGGGAGACAAGGAAGTCAAAAAATTGAGGACGGTGAGTGAAGGGGAGATGGTGCATTTGTGCATTTGAAGGAAAAAGGCTGATAATGGAGGGGAATTGCCCACGGCTGCTGTAAAGTATCTGTGGAATACGAGTGTGTGTGTGTGTGTGTGTGTGTGTGTGTGTGTGTGTGTGTGTGTGTGTGCTTGTTTATGTCAGAGAGAGAACTCAGAGGA